AAGAGAGAGAGACCACAAACATTTTTGTCAAACAGAAAGCTTAAACTGTGCGCTTAAGTATTGATCAGCCTCGATGAATATTCTGTCAGTTAAACATGGTGCAAAGCCAAAATTATTCATGACTGTTTCTCCCACAGCCTTGATTAAAATTTCCCCTCATCATTTGGCTGATTTTATGCTGCTAGTAAATCCCGACACCAACACCTCCCATTCCTTGTCATCAGCGAAAGTTTGTTTGTCAGCGTCTATCCGGTTATTCCGCTCAGATTTTACTGCAACTCCATAAAATCATGGATGGACTGGTTATGTCACACAAGTTAACAAGCTCGGTCTGAAAGATAAGATCAATCAAACCCATTTTATATGACTTTCTTGAAATGCTTAAAATCTATGAGCAAACGCTTTAGCTCACACTGATCGCACCCTATCACCCATCACTGTATATATCAGTATTTTTACATTCCAAAACTCATTTGAAGAGCGCACACCCAGAGCATCTGGCAGCTGTTTGAAAAGCACTTTTAAGTCAAAGCAGCAGGACCTTGATCTCTTTTGACAGGAGAATAAATTGACTAAACACTATAATACACACTCCAGGACACCATTAAACTCTGCACACTGAACCTGTCTTATCAGGGGACCTCCGCTGACAGAAGCATGGGTATATGTAGGTTGCCTGCTCATACAATATGCGTGGCCCAGGGCCAAAAGCGTGGGACGATGCTAATGCACTAAAGCTCATTGCCCTTAGTGTGGCAGATGAAGGCTGGGGTTTGTGTTACGGAGTAAGAATTACCAATAGAGGACTCGGTGTGACATGTAGTAGCGTGTGTGCCACCATAAATTATCTGTTTGCAGCATAATGTCACCTGAGTGCCGCAAAGCTATGCAGCAGGGGTGTGCAGGTTGAGAGTGTTGCTCCTGCATCCCTGCGATCACCTTCAAAGTTTAGCATGAAAATGAAGACGACCTACTACAGAGTTCTAACTATTTATCGAGATTAATTCAGCAAAAAGTGTAAATTCATTTTGCCTGAAGAGAGTTCTAGTCCCAGGAATTTTTCTTCTTAGTGGAAAATTTTCCCTTTCAAAGCAGTCCTAATGTTTGCCATCCCGTCCCTCTGAGCTATCGAGGAAATCCATTTAATGATAGTATATTGTATAGTGGTAAGTGCAAGTGATCCTGGATCTACATCAGAAGAGCTGGCGTGTGACTGAATAATAGATGAATAATAGATAAGGAATTAAAAAATCTTTTAAAACAAGTATCGTAAGATAAATCTGACTCAGGATGGACGATAAAGTTTTGATTTTTCAGAACTGAGTACTGGTACTGATGCTAGAGTGAGTGACAGGTGTGGGTAGGTAGAGCTATGTGTCAGAAAGGAGCTGCTGTCAGTTACTGACCTTATGTGCACATCATTTCTGTGGACGTGATGGCTGTATGACACATTTATTCAGTATTTATTTATTTATAAAGTTTTGTTATGTATGTAAATGTGTTACGGTCATTCTTTGGGTCCAGATTTTCTCTAGCTGCTCTTGTGCACTGACTTGACATGTATGCGTGCACATGGCAGATTTCACCCTGTTGTGTTGCTTTCAGGCAGAAACTTGTACTCATTCATCCTATCCTGCGATGTCTCCTGCAGAGATTTAGGTGACACCCACCTGTCTCATAGTGCAAGCTTCTTGTCATTTTACTGAGGCAGAGATGTTGACTTGATATATAAAACTCTTTTTTTCCACATGAAGAAATACAATATAACAGGTAAAGCAGTTACATGTAAATTTCAGTCTGATGCCCAAACTTAAAAAGCTCTATCAAGCCTCTGTTGGTGGTCATAAAACTTGGATCACAGTGAGTTTCACTGAGAAAGCAACACTACAAAGGAAAGGCTTTCTTGTATTTGGTTTAAAACATATGGTCAGAATCCACAGAGGCCGTGGCAGAGCTTTAGAGAGGAGGAAATGAAAGCAGTCTTTCTTTGATTCTCTGAACTGAACTTGGGCGTTGCTATAAAACTGAAAGAGAGCATCTGTCTGACAGGAACATGTGTAGTGAGGTAATTATTTAGGTTGCAAGGCAATACAAAGATTTAAGCCATCACAAGGAACTACCTTTGTAGTGTTTCTACAGTAGGATCATGATAAAACTCTTCTAATGTATTCCTGTGACTTGGCTGTGTGAAGTGAGTGTGGGGAGAATATGTAGAAGACCAGAGGAGACAGCACCACTGATGATAGATACAGTAGCTAGCAGCCAACAAGGCAGGAGGCAAAGAGACTTGCAAATGGTGCTGGCAAATAATCATTGTGAAGCTGAGATTACAGATTAAAGAGGTCTATAACAACATAATTAAAACTATCAAGAGGCTCAATCTACAATTCTCAAATTAGTTTTAGCAGCTTTCTTTCTAGTGTGGAGTGCAAAAAAGATTTTCTTTTGTTTGCTTTTGTTTTTATAACAAATCAAGGAAGCATGCCACGTATGTGGTTTATGAGTGCTCTGGCTGCCACTAGCACGACCACAAAAAGGAAGACATCTCTGCAGGGCAGCAGGATGTGTAAGCAGCGTCACACAGACCTTATAAAGAACAGCATGCGCTAATTGGGTGCAGCACGTTATTTGGCCATTTTTAAACTTCAGCAAAACCCGCAGAAGACAGCTGCATCCCTATTTGTACATATTACACACACTGTGTCTCGAATCTCATAATTCCATACTTATGCTCACACCATTAAGTGCCTACGCACATTTGCGCTGACAATTATATGGCTACATTAAGTACTCTATGAGAACGCAAATGGTGGAGTGGTGCAGTATACATTTCTAATCTTTAATGGTTGCCATCTTGACAATGTAGCAAAAACTTTCAGCGTGTAGAAGCAGGACACAGCAGCTGTTACGGCCATCAACTTATCTCCATGACCAAAAGACTTCTTTTATTTAAATGGAGAGAGAAAGAGCGTAAAAAAGAAAAAAAAACAAGGTGAAATGGGTTTGGGCCAGAGAAACAATGGGGTCTTGGACCCATGAACTCCTGTCATGAAGAAAGAAAACGAAACTAACAAGTACAGCTTGGGACCGCCATCCCAGTCATCAATCATGCCATGAGAAAGAAAGAAGAGATAAGTAAGGGAGAGGGGCAGCAAAGAGGAAAAGTGGATAGAGGAAACAAATACGAGGAAAGAGCATGTAACACTGAGCTAACTGTAAAAAACAACAGTGAAGATGGTTGTGCTGGCTCACAGAACATCACATGTGTTGTGCACATTCAGACCTCCAGAAACCTGTTCTAAAAGGTGTGTTTGTGACATTCAGTAATAAGCTGGTAAACCTAAGGGATGGATGTTTATTTTAATATATAAATAAGGACAAGTAGTTACAATTAAAGATCAAATCAAATCACGGTGCTATCAAGTCACTGAAAGGATTAAATAAATTAGAATACCATCATCTTAATCACTAATACATCCACAATTATAGCATCTTCGTTGTCTTTAAAGGTCACCAAGCTGGAATCTAGTGTAACACAATAAATATCCATCCACGCCTCCAGCTGGCATTTTCTGTTTAGCCACTGATGTTACGCATGTTTTTTTTCTTATTCATTGATGTTAAATTGTCATCTTCACTTCAGAAGAATCCAGTTCTAACTTCACAAATGCTCACAAACTGCCGAAACTAGCACAACCATCATTTCTGGTAAGAGGACAACTAAATCTGTTCAAGACAATCCACCTCACAACTGAATACTTAGTGAAGATGCACAAACAAATATCCTAATTAAGACGATACAAATTTCCACTCAAACAACCACCTGGTTTAATTCTTTCTTATTTCTAACAGCAAATGACATTTTGTGTAATTACTGAGGGAATATTAATCGTGCACAGCTTCCTCAGACAGCATACCGAGGTTACACAAACAGTGTTACTTAATGAATACTGATTTGTCAGTATATGCCTCAGAAAATCTTTGTTACAGACCCACCTCTATATTTTTTTTTAAAACATTACATAGCTTTTCAGATTGCACAGCCACAAAAACAATTCAGGAATTTATGTGTCTGCCATCTTATTTATATTCCACAGCATTGAACTCAAGTTTCTTGATGATCCCTTGAAGGCAACATCAAACTGAAGGAAAATAAAATACAGTGGGCATGTGGGAAGACAGAGTGGAGGACACTTGTTGAAGCATGTATTTGAAGGTTTACGTTTAAATAAAATATTCATTTCTGATGTGATAGCAGTGCAATGTTCAGTGCTTTAGGAAGTGTGGTGTTTCATACAAAGCTGCAGCTACAGCTAACAACTGAATGGGCTTGTTACCCCTTACTCTGCCATGTTTTTCCTCCCCCTAATTCTCACTGTGAGAAAATCAAGACTGCACACCAATTAGGGAAGTGGTTGCCATATCCACTCCATTATCATTAATTTTTTCCCGCTACTCCAAAGCTGTGTTCACACTGACATTCACAGGAAGGTTTCCAACTGAATTGTTATCCCCTACATGTCTCCTGCTGTCATCAGAATTATGTGGTTTCAATCCTTTTCCCCCACACCGACCTCACTAAAAGTAACTTCCTGCTGCTCCACAAAACCCCGACTTTAATCACAGTGAAACTTCTGAACGGAAATTTTAAAAAGTAGTCTTGGTTTTCCCCAGCTTTTAACAAAGAAGTCTCTTCATAGTAATCAGTAGGTAGTCCAGCTCCACCAGGACTGTACATCAATATGTGGCATTGCAAGAAGGTTTGCTACTGTTGCAGCACAGTCTCAAGAGTGTGGCAGTTTTATCAGGACACATGCTGTAACACAAGGACAGAGCACCACAGCAGACTTACCAGTGTTGGGATTTTCTGGCGAATGCTGATTGAGCTGCGAAGTGTGAGCACAGGACCCACT